AAAGTGCTCTCATTCCTGTTTGTAGGAGATAATATTTAAACCAGAATCTGTGCTCATTGCTACTGATTGTCTGTAAAAATGTACATAGCATGTTGGTCCCAAAGTCAAATCTATGAGGAAAAGTAGAGTTACGAAAGTCTAGTTTCTATTCTTGCTCCCTATATACTGTCCCCTCCCTCACAGGTTTTTGGGGGTTTTTTTGTTTTGGTTTTTTGGGATTTTTTTGGTAAGTTTTTGGGCCAAGCAAAGTGGTACAATACTGTAGTCCTAGCTACTCAGAGGCTGAGTTGGAAGGAGTCCTTGAGCCTGGAAATTTATGTGTACCTGGGCAACATAGCGAGCCCCCTTCTCTAAAAAAGAAAAAAGAAAAGAAAAGAAAGGAAGAAAGAAAAAGAAAGGAAGGAAGGAAGGAAAGAAGGAAAGGAGGGAGAGAAGTAAAGTAAAGGAAAAAGGAAATGAAGAAAAAAAGAAGGAAGAAAAGAAGGAAAGAAAGAAGGAAAAAAGTTTTTGGTATATAACTTATTTTTAAAATAAAAGTAAAAATGTGTATCTATTTGATATTTGTATGAGCAACTTTATTCCATGAATGGTAGCATGCCGTAATCATTTCTCTGCCTTGCTTTCTCTTCATTCTACAGCAATCTATGGAGATGTTGGCATTTAGGAGAGTTTCTATTTTGTTCTGAGGTAATCTTTAGAACAATACCTTTGCATAACAATCTTAATCCTCTCTTCTTTTTGAATACTACCTATCAGTTACCGATTGTGAACAATAATGGAATTAACTAGTAATCTTTCTCCTTCCCTCCTGCTCCTTCAGCACCAATTTTGAACTTATAGCTTTATTCTTTCTAATTACTAGTAGTAAGGCAATCAGCAAGCTTATTCAACTTTCCATATACTGTTCCTCTTATATCCCACTTTTTGATAGTTATACAGTTTTGAGTTTTTAAAATTTAATTAATTTATTTTTAGAGAGAGGGTCTCAGCCTGTAGCCCAGGCTGGAATGCAATGGCGTGATCATTGCTCACTGAAACCTCCAATTCTGTGGCTCAAGCCATCATCCAGCCTCAGCCTCTGGAGTAGCTGGGCATGTGCCACCATGCCCAGCTAATGTTTTGTAGAGACGGGGTCTGACTATGTTGCCCGGACTGGTCTCAAACTCCTGGTCTTAAGCAATCTTCCTACCTCAGCCTCCCAAAGTGCTAGGATTACAGATATGAGCCACTGCAACCGGCTAGTTAGTTTCCACTGTGCAGAATATATAACCATTGCATAATATACACCCTCTATGTGTCAATCATTTAGTGATGGTACTGGAGATAAACATACAATCAATGCCTCTCCAGTGAAGAAGTCAAAACTCAATTTCCCAGCTTACCTTACAATCAGGACACAAACAAGTGATTAGGTTCTATTGATCAGGCACATACCATAAGGATTTTGATTCAGAACTGAGCTGTGAGAACAGGCTGTGTATGGAACTGTCATTTTTGCTGGGAGATGTGATGGTCAGCTTCCAGATGCAGTGGCGGCAGCAGGGAGCAATTTCCTAGTGATTGGAAGGCGATCCTCCTGATGAAAAAAAGCTATGGGTGTTTGTAGCAGCATCAGTTACAGAAAAGACCAAGAACTTCTGTTGCTCACGCTTTGCAGAAGTGACATCAGCAGCAGGGGTTTTCTAAGTCTGCCAATCTGCAGCTTGGTTTTAGATAATGTTATGGAATCAGCTTTGAGGCCGTTCTCCAGACTTTCTAAAACCATTGTGAACCTTCTAATATCTTGAAATATATTCTTCCTTTGCTTACATTAATCAAAGTAGATATTGTCATTTGCATGCAAAAGCCCTGATAGATACTGGGAACTACACATTTCCAGTTATCGTGAAGACTGAATGATGTAGCTTACACATTCGCACCTAACACACAATCGTGTTTAAGAAGTATTAATTTCCTTTTGAGTTCCTTGTGGAGGTGGATTATCGTACAGAGGCAGTCAAGCTAGATCTTATTGAAGCTTCTGAAATAAATCTGCATTCATTACAGATATATTCAATTCCCTTTGTTGGGGCATTGCCAAAGCCTAAGTGCTTTTTGGAATCTTTTTATTCTATAAAACTAGAAAAGATAATAAACTTTCTGTGCAGAATTGGCTATGTAATCTGTAGGGCCCAGTGCAAAATTAAAATGCAGGATTTCTTGTTTTAAAAAGTATTAGGAATTTCAAGACAGGAAAGGCATGGAAGCTTACACCTATAATCCCAACACTTTGGGAGGCTGAGGAAGGAGGATTACTTGAACACAGGAGTTCAAAACCAGCCTGGGCAATATACTGAGATCCTGTCTCTAAAAAAAAAAAAAAAAAGTTTTTTTTAAATCAGCAGGTGAAGGCTGCAGTGAGCTATGATGA